TACGAAATGGACCTGCATAGTGTAAGCGAGGGTTCATGAAATGTTCAGCATTTCATCGTTTTTATAATAAATTTAGCCAATTTGGTGTTATGATTTCTGTTGTTTGGTTTAAAACACAGGGGATAACACACACGCAAGTGGGACAATACGTGGTTATGACACTTTAGTAGCTTAAGTAATGATAAAATCACACTATTCATTATGCGGAAATACTTCTTCACCATATAAAAAAAAAAATTGTACCACTACAACCCATGAAGGGTCTTGGGTGCAGTACTATGTGAAGAAGTGCTGTTGGGAGATGACGGGCCAATATCACGCTCAACCGCCAGGTTTCCTCCCTTAATTATATTTCTGATTAAAGATACCCACTTTATATAGGCTGTGTGTGCCCAAGGAGGTCTCCTGATACCAGGGTTGATCCACAGCTTATGAAAAATCAATAGTCATTAGCCGGATTCGAACCTAGGACCTTGAACTCTGGCAGTCAGTGCTCTCCCACTGAGCTACCCCTCTCCCTCTTCAGTATATAGTTGTGGAGAAAAAATAAATTAGATTTAACTAATCACGTAAAAGTTTAATGGACTAAAACTTGCCGTTAAAATGAGAATCACCCATATAGAGATTGGAAAGAATTTGATAATAACTATTTTATATTTTGACCTAATCGACTGGATAGAGATAAATTTCTTACGATCGAAGCCAAGGAGGGACAAGAGATGAGAGAAGGCGGATGCTGATTGAAGAGGAATTCCTGGACGAAGGGGCGACGAGGAGGAATTATGACATAATGAGGTTCTCCAGCGAAGGATGGGGAGTCCTTTAGCTTCAGGGCTTTCCGATGAATATAGAACTTGAGATAGCTAGATTACTACAGCTTATGTTATCCCCCCGTCTATACTTCACTACCTTCTAAAATAAATCATGAATTAAATTTTAAAAAACACTACATGCCGTGGTTAGAAATACTTTTACATCTATCTAAAGTATATATCGACAGCCACACTGCAAAAGCCTGAAATATTTATGTTCGTTTTGAAGAAAAAAAATCTGGTGCTGTGAGCGCATCACACAACTTTCACTTACCACCCCCTTTTAAGCATAAATAAGTATTTTGAGATAAAGCGAAGTGAAAGTAAAATTTATAGACTCTGTATTTATTTATATTTCATTGTGGTTATTTTTATTTGTATAAGTACCCTCATTTATACAAATTTTAATATTTATATCCCTGTAATCTATACAATTAAATATTAAATAATTAATTATCTATTAATTTATTTATTAATTAATATACTAAAGGTATGGAAGCTTGTTCTAATCTTTCGGGCGAAATTGGATGCGCTCGTATTCCTTTGGTTCCTCAATTACAACTATTCTCCGTTATGATTTATTATTTCTCATTTAGTTATTTATCAAATTCTTTCATATTTTATATTTAACCATTTTTCATATTAATGTGAAATGGTCAATTGTTTCAAATAAAAAAAAATTAAAGGTACTTTAGAAGAAGCTTATATTGAAAATTAGCTATTTAAGCCCTGTTAAGAGAACATCAATCAGAATAATAACCACATTTTATTTAAAACTGCTTAAATTTACAATGAAATGGTAAATTTAATCAAAATCGTTAGAGCCGTTTTCGAGATAATCGTAAAAATGTTTTTAGTCCATTATATAAAGTGCCACTTCCGGTTAGTCGATTTTGACAAAAAAAGTTTATGTAACATCCCTAACATATAAAAATCTTAAATACACAATTTCACTTCCGTACGACTTTTCGTTTTTGAGCTAGGCTGTTAACACACACAAAGAGCATTTTGCGGGACTTGGTTATTTGGACTCAGGGGTGCTCAAAACGTGTATTTCCGTTGAAAACTGAAAGATTTAAAAATTTTTACGATCGCAATACTCGCCCTTACTACATATATATATATATATATATATATATATATATATATATATATATATATATATATATATATATATATATATATATAGATAGATAGATAGATAGATAGATAGGTAGATAGATAGAAAGTAAACTTTATTCTGGGACAAGGTCCCTTATGAATAACAGATATGAACAAAAAATAAAAACTACATCTGGCCAAAAATTGCATTAGTCAATGTTAAAGAATATGTAGTATCTTCAGTAAAATTAAATTAAAACAAGTAAAAATAACACCATTTTGAAAAAAACAAAATAAAAAAAACATTATTTAAATGAAAAGAGAACAAAATAAATTAAACATGGGTTGATTTTTAAAATTAAAAACTCTATAAATTTTTACAACCATTCACTTCAGTCAAAATCTGTTTCGCAATATTTATTTTATTGTATAACGTCATTTTGGGATGTGAGAAGGAATTGGTAGAGATGATATTTAAATGAGGACGAGGAAGAGGCATGACGGATATCAGATGGCAAGGAATTCCAGAAGGCACTGGATCGGGCAATAAAGGAATATTCAAACGTCTTAGTTCTATGGGAAAGGATATAAAGGTCGGAAACACGGGATCTTGTTTTCTGGGAGTGGACCACGGGTATTACACATAAGGTAAGTGTAAGTAACGAGAGAATCTCTAAAAGGTTAATATTTGATGTGCCGAATGGTAAGCGTCCGAGGGGTAGACCGAAGCGAAAGTGGGAAGATTACATTAAAGCCGATCTGAAGGGACTTGGTTTGGACGGCGAACGGTGGAGGGAGGTGTGTAATAAGCGATTGGTGGTGTCGGCATCGAACCTTCGGATTCGCTAAGCCTTTTATTATTATTATTATTATTATATAGGTAAGTGTAAGTAAAAATTGGACTATCGGACTCATTGAATGTCTTTATATGAGAATCGATACTATCTCAACACCCATAAAAAATCGATTAGGGTTCACTTTGGAAATAAACGTTTCATTTATTATAATGTATTAGCAGACCTTTGACATTATCTGTCATAACATTTTTTGAAAATTATATATAAGTAAAAGATTTCTGCTAAGAAGGGAGTGGTAAGTGAAAGTTGTGTGATGCGCGCACAGCACCAGATTTTTTTTTCTTCAAAACGAACATAAATATTTCAGGCTTTTGCAGTGTGGCTGTCGATATATACTTTAGATAGATGTAAAAGTATTTCTAACCATGGCATGTGGTTTTTAAAAATTTAATTCATGATTTATTTTAGAAGATAGTGAAGTATATACGGGAGGATAACATAAGCTGTAGTAATCTAGCTATCTCGAGTTCTATATTCATCGGAAAGCCCTGAAGCTAAAGGACTCCTCATCCTTCGCTCATAACAATTTTTGAAAATTATGTATAAGTAAAATATTTGAATAGTTGAACTAAGAGTAAATAAAAGCAGAAAACCCTGCAGTGACTTGAGTAAATCGAGGAAGTCCGGACGAACTCGTTCCGATTAATTTTCGTCCAACCTGCGCATAATTATTGACCAATTGTTATTTCCGGGTTCGTCCTTATCGGTCGTATGTGTTTATTAAATCCGTTATATGTATGGTAACCGTTATGTATATTATAACCGTTATGTATATGATAACCGTTATGTATATGCCAACTATTTTACAGATCACTCGAAAATCTATAAATGTCCTAAAACAATTCCTAAGGTTCCATGATTCTATTCCTCAATAGACCAATCAGCTTCTATCTTTTTATGTTCCTGTTTTCTACTTAACTCATTACCCACCTACTTCGGTTACTAGTATGGAGGACTGTCTGCAATACCTCGTGGTACCCATTTTTATCAAATTATTAACATCTACCTCAAACTCTGTGAATAGATTCATCTAATCCTAACCTACAAATATTTATATTCGAAAATTCTCGGATTTGGAGCGTTTGCAATCTGGAGATCGGCAAACTTTGTTTATTTATTTATTTATATTGTCCTACCTAGGACTCCACCTGGACAAACGTCTAACTTGGAATCCGCATACCAGACTGAAACGACAAGAAACCGCCTGACGTTTCCGATTACTCCAACATATACTACACAAACGCTCTAAACTTCCAATTAATTACAAAAGACTCATATACATGACTATAATAAGGCATATTTGGACTTACGCAGTTGAGCTATGGGGCTCCACTAAACCATCGAATTCCTCTCGTATCCAAACCTTACAATCCAAAATGTTTCGTAAAATCCTCAATGCCCCCTACTTACAAATTACACCATGCAACAAATTACAATCCAACAAATTACCATCCAAGTTACAAATAAAACCATCCATAATGAATTTAATGTTTCTTATGTTTCCGATTTGGCCCAATCCAGATACCTATCCTTCTGTAACAAACTGCAGAACCATCCGAATCCTCTCGTTTCAAACCTTGCTTCCTCTTCTATTCCTGATAACCCTCGAAGGCGTCTGAAAAGAAGATGGCCTCGGGAACTTCTAATATAGAACTTTAATTTGAGTTCTACCAATGGGTAGTTTCTCTTCATGTTGTACATGCCATGTTATTGTTAATTGTCACATTCAATTATTCACTTCAGTACCAATGTCATATTTACTTGTTGTATTTGGTTTGTATTGGTTTTTTAGTTAGTTGTATTAGGTTTTTTCCATGTAATACAGTTGTATATTTCATTAGAATAAAAAAAAAAACAGTTTTTGTTATGTTCTTGATATGTGAGATCCATGTCATTCTTCTGTCAAATGTCAGTTCCAGATATTGAACTTTGTCTGTCTAAGGAATTTGGACATTGTCAAGGTTAACATCACGGCAAGTTATATATCGTGATTTCCCCTGGTTAAGTCGAATTTTCCAGAGTTTACACTATTCGTGGAATTTCTTAAGGTCATATTGAAGAGTCTGTATGCGGTCAGAGTATCAACACTGTCTGGAATATCGTATGTATGAATAATATATAACAGAGGAGCGAGTACTGACCCCTCAAAAATTATTTTTTAATTTCTTTGTATTATCCTTGAGATATTATGAAGAGATAATCGTTTTAATTTATTGAGTATATATTTCAGGAGTCGAAGGAGAGACCGTACTGTGCTATTGTAACGGTCCTGAAATCCTTGGAACCCATCCAAGACCTGGGTTCTCTTCGTTGTTTGTCCTGTATCTTCTTATATATTGCGACCTCCGCTATACCAGGACCATTATCAGCCCCTGAGGTCAATTCTACATAACCTCAACATAAACAGGTTATCTAACAATGATTATTAAACACGAAATTTACTTAAAGTTTCTTTTCATTACTACAAACTTTTTTATATAAATATTATATTACAACTACATAGTATTTACAACAACTTTTAGTCCGTGATACAGACCACTTTTTTTTATCAAATTATTAACATCCGCCTGAAACTTTGTAAATAGCTTCATCTCATCATAACCTATAAGCACTTTCAAAATATAGTCGAATTAAATCAAAACAATTAAAAAAGGAGAAAGAGGGATAATAGTTACTCAAGATAAGCAAATGATTTAAACCATGTTTCAAAGTTCCAGTTGACCTTTTGTATAAAATAAAACTTCTGTCTGTTTTTCTAAAAGAACGGGCCATCGGATCCACAGCGGGGGACGACCTTGGGAATTTCAATTTCACATGAATATAAATGGACCGGAAGGAAGTTGTGTACTAAGAGGAGGCGGAATTATATTAGCAACTTGATTAGGGACAAGAAGGAGTAGTTAAGTCTTCAGGCGTCCGGCCGATCGAGCGGGTTTAACAGACAGAAGCAAATTATTAAAGAATACTCTTTGATTCTGTCTTCTCTGAATATTAGATGTCCTCCCATTGATGTCTTGGCCGAAATCTCAATCTAAACATTTTTTCTATTAATGAAAGTTTTTAATGTGGATCATTATTAGTGCTGCCCAAAATCGGTCTTGCATGACCAAAATGCACTTTGCAAGACTAAGACGAATTACTTTGCAAGACCGCCTATCTGTTGCAAGACCAATATCAAGACTGGTAAAAAAAATCGATTTTTTGAATAATAAATGAGGCAAAACAGTAGTTCACAATTTTAGTTACTATATGTAAAGAATGTTGTAACCAATATAATTTTGCATTTAGCTCTTCTAATTTTTCATTCAGACTTAGTTAGGTTTCTCATATCTAAAAAATTACAGTAATAACTCTCTAGTAATAAGCTAATAGGTAATTGAAAGACTGTTACGAGAGTCTTGCGCAAGACCAAGACCAAGACCAAAACTGAGTTTGCAAGACCAAGACTCGTCTCGGTCTCGCATTTGGGCAACACTAATCATTATTAACTTGCATAGCCCCGAGAAAAATCAAGGATCCGAATCCTCGAATACATTCCATGTGTCTACACTATAATATAGTGCAGATACATGGAACCGTATTATATAATATCTATATAAATAAAATAAAGTTTTTGTCTGTACATTGAATAGAATCAAACCGATATCTTTCCGTTTCATACATTGCAGACACCAAAACCACTTTTAAAAATTTTTTTCTCTGTCTGTATGTCCGCATTGCAACGAAATTTTGTCAGGGGTAAGCTCGGTAATGGCTAATGGTAGACTCTTGAAATTTTGACATTACATTTAAGTTTGCTTGACTTAAAATATAGGCTTTAAATGAAAATAACCAAAGTTATGGATTCTTGAGTAATTTGTCTAGAGATCCCGGTTAGGCAATTACTTACTTTGATTCCCATCCCAAACTACTCTATCGTGAGCCACATGTAAAAGTTGTACAGTTCAACTGATGGAAAAAATTATCACAACTCAACGGGAAAAATCCGGAATACCGAACATCTGTAACGTACTGTCGCATAAAACGGGTAAAACGCACTCATTTTTCGACTTTGTCCGATTTTCCCGTTCAAGGTGTCATTCGATTAAACTTTCCGAGCCTAACAAATGCTGTCGTAAACATTTTTAGCATTAATTTATTAGGCGGAAATCAGCAAAAAAAAATCTCAAAAATTTCACCTTGCCCGTCATAATATTCAGATCAAGTTCTAATTTTACACGGATGTAGTTGACTCAATGTCCAATGATATTTTGGTTATTTTGCCTGTGATAAACTCAGAAAAGTTTAAAGAAGCGGAAAGACTACAACTCTTTTTGATTAATTAATGGACTCTACAATCTGCTTCCCTCATCATAACTCAAAATTAAACACTTAACAAATTTTAATGGGTCGGTAGTGGTCTGTTTAGTTGTGTGGTACTTAAAAAAATAGCCGAATAACAAAGTTTTTGTTATGACTACTACGAAATCTTGACTTCCATAAACCCGCCATAAAAAAAAAAAAAAAAACCCTTTCCTCTCCCCCGATCCAATTTTATGAAATTCAATTTGGACCCCTCCCCCTCATAATACAAAATCCATCTCAAAAAAAGATTCTCTAATTTTAACTATACAGCCGTCCACGACGGGTACATCAGCTAGTATAATATATAATACAGTAGTATAGGACCTTTGTATCGTATTCATAAGAAATGTATTTCCATGAATTGCATATCAAGCGAAAAGGAATTTTATCTAGAAGAAGAAAAGATCTGATTTTCAATTCTAATATTTCTATAACTTTAATAAAACTCATTGAAAAAATTAAGAGTAGGTTCCAAAAATCGACGAATCGAGAAGGAATTGTGTTTAAATTATTTTGACAAACGAACCAATACCTGGTTAAGGTTAAATTTAGTTGTGAATAGAAAAATTCAATTATAAAACTCCGTGTGTTTAAGATATAGGTTAACAATTAACTTGTCAACTATTAGAGAAAAATAAATAATGGAAGTGGTCGAAGCACACCAGCCATTTATTGAACTTTTAAAACAATAGTTAATAAAAGCTCCAATTTTAACACGTTTCGATGACAGAAAACCCATTATCTTAAGTGGGGATGCTTTTCCTTATTGAGTTGGAGGAATCCCGGCTCATCTTGATGAGTAAGGCCAAGAGCACTCTATGGCTTATTGCACACGTACGCCAAGACCCAGAGAAACTATTCTCAGCTTTATCGAGAAGCTTTGGGACTTGTCAATGACATTATAATAATAATGATAAAAGGCTTAGCGAACCCAAAGGTTCGATGCCGACACCACCAATCAACAATGCCATTATAACCTATCATTAAAACCCATTGGGCCGTAAATACATACTTTACACGGATCATAAGCCACTTTTGGGAATTTTTGTTGAAGTGGGGAAAAATAAATATCACGAAAGTATCGTAGATATCTCATTTATTGACGGTTTGTAGTGAAACAATTTTTTTACTTTCTTTATTGTTATTCTATCTTAAAATAAATTCTCTCTGGAGGAGAGGAGGGGGAGAGATGTTATGTACCTCTTTGGAAGAGACGGTTATACAATGTCATGTGTTCTGATAATGAGTTTGACAAATCTTGTTTTTCGATTTTGGTTTATTATTTTCATTAATCAACCATTTTAATCGAGCAAAAAAATCAAAAACTTAACCTCCTCAAAAAAGTTTCACGTTTCAGGATGTGTAGAATTCGAAAAACGAATAAAAAATTTTTTGTCCAGCCGCCGTCTGCCGTCCGCACATTTTCTCCGAAAATACTGGATTTTTTTCAAATTTAGATATACAATCAGAGGTCACCAGAGGATGATCCTCCTTCATCGATATTACTATCCGCCGTTTACTTTCAAAATGGTGGCCGAAAAACCTGCGTTGCTATAGACTGTAGCTCCTAGACGAATGTACAGATTTCTATGAAACTTCGTTAAAGTCATTTTCTCGACGCCCTTTAAATTTATCTATATAACATACTTTAACGAAAAAAAGCTGGAAAAAAAGTTACGAAGGATGGTAAAATTAAATTCCGAATAACTCAAGAAGTATACACATTTTTGTTAATATAGTATTGTATGGTTTTTTATAAGTTTGCGGAATTTCCTAAAAAAACAAAATAAAATTCGTTAAAATCGGACAATTATTAACAAAGATATGGTCTATAGTTTTTTTTAGATATGCTATTGCAAAAGGTTTATCTTTTGTTTGGATTTTTGAATGTATTACTGAAGTAATGCTATTTTTTAGCATATTACTAATGATTAAAAAAAAAGTTTAGTCCAATAATTTGAATCACCTTTTATTTATTTTCTATTTTATTTTTATTTTTAATCATTCATTAAGTTATAGAAAGTTTTTCATTGTCAAAATATTTCACTTTTTTTATTTTTTAGGAATATTGATATTATAGTACTTAGTAGGTTTTACATTTGCATTGGGATTCACAGCTACGCTTGTGATCATCTAATCTCAGCAACCTTAACATATTGAAAATCAATCGTGTCAAATGATTATAGTTATGAATATGTTATTAGCGATTTCCAACCTTAAATTACATATTTATTTATTATTTTATAATATTTGCAAATGTACTGTAATGCATATCTATCAAAACCATTTTTAATTTCCTTCATTTACTTGTTATATATATTTTTTTTAACATATTGACTGCTGTCCTATGAGATAATTTGTAATCAGTGTTGTGGTATAGGAAGACCTTCTGCGAGTAATCTCTTATTCACTTTAATTGTCATTTTTTAACAACTACAATGAAATTTCTTGTTATATTTGATAATTACCGTGTATTAAAATCAGATTTTTTATTTATAAAGTGTTGAGTTAAATTGGCTTTTAGAAAAGTACCGTGATAGTTAACGTGTTACTATAATTAATTATTGGTGAAGCAGATCTCTTGGCCACTTTCTTTATCACCGGGTAGCATAGAGTAGGAAAGCTGTTGGTCTTGTGGATTGGGGTGATAGTGAGTTAAAGAGTGAAATGAGGTGCATTTGTTGTGAATGTATGATTTTACTGTTGGAATGTTCATGTCATTGTGTATTGTGTGATTTGACAATTTACTGAAGAGTTATGGCCAGTGCTGTTTGTATTATGTTTCTATGTACATGTTCTGCTTAACTAATATGTGATATTTGATTGTTTAGTGTAGTCAGTTCTTCTTCTTTCTTTTTACTTTCACTTAGGTATATATGTAATATATAGTAAGGGTAAGTATTGCGATCGTGAAAATTTTCGAATCTCAGTTTTCAACGGAAATACATGTTTTGAGGTCCCCTGAGTTCAAATAACCAAGTGTCACAAAATGGTCTGTGTGTGTGTGTGTGTGTGTGTGTGTGTGTGTGTGT